AGCCTACTCTAAGAAAGTCATGTCCTGCTGCTTCTTCCTTAAGCACTAAATATTATTTCACAGCCTCTCTCAGAGAAGGCTCCGCTTCCACCATCGCTGCTCTGAGCTTTAATATGTGTGTTTTTCAACCAGCTCATGAAAGCAGGGGTTTCTGGATAACACTGACCCTGGTGCAATGGATAATTGCACAGAGACCTCACACCCAGAGAGCTGTAGGTTCCCTGGGCCTCTGAAAGCAAGTGCTTGAGAGCCTCTGGAAAGCATTCAGGGTCTGCTCTGTAAGAGAATAGCAACCAATGATGGAAAAATAAAAGAATCTAAGAGTTTGTTTTCTATGAATTTGAGTGAAAGGACTTCAGAAGAGCATTTGGCAGCAACTGAGCAGGGAAACCAGCAGAAGAGAAAGCAAATGTTAGCAAAAGTCAGGAGAAGTCTTACCCCCCATCTCACACACATCACAAAAAAACAACCTCCTGTCCCAAAAAGTGACTACTAAATAAGCAAGACCTCCTGAACTCTGGATATACCCTGCCCAGGTGTGGCCCTGGGGACTTGGTAAGCCACACTGAGGGAAGGATGGACACACGGACTGGGACTTTGAGAGGGTTTAATACTGAATGCTGGACTGACCTCTGGTCACCAAGAACAGCACGAGCCCCGAAGTATCTCTTCAACTCGTTCTCTGGGTTCAAGTTCCTGGAGTTTAAACAAGAAAGAAAAGATATTGTCAGTTAAACACAGCCAAAGGTCTCACACTCGAGTCCTTCCCATCAACACCAAGGGCTCTGTACCTTGAACCGACTCTGGCCAAGCCCCTGAACTGTCACACACCCCTCAGTCTGACACAACACTGAAAGGAGACTAAAACTGGTCAGAACAGGAGACATCGCATCCCCTGTTCAGTCAGATGTGGGCTCCCTTCATGCTTTGCTCCTGAGCAGCCCGAGCTGGGCAATGCTGCTGCCGCCCTCTCCAGGGCAGTGGGGCCTTAGGCTGAGACACTGCTGGGACAGCCACCCATCAGGGGTGCATACTTGGGGTACATGTGCCCTGAAAATGTGAGACACCCCTGCCCAGCCTGGTTTAGGCAGCCTGCAACCCGGAGCAAGCACTGTAGCCACTGCGTGGAGGCTGGCAAGGATTAAAATACCATTTTTTACTACCAAGATCTTGTATCCAAGCATGACAACACCACAGGTTTCTTGATCTACCATTTGGTACACAGGAAGGTGTATTTGAGGGGTTTCTCTCTGCCATCCAGGGAAGGGAGGGAGTGGAGAGGCTGAGACCCAGCACGGCCAATCCTCATCCACACGGAGATTACCCAGTCCCAGAGGTTTTGGAATAACATTTATTTGACCAGAGATGTCATTGAGGTTTAAAACCACCTCTGGATAAACAAGCAAGCAGCCCACACTCAGTTTGGATGCAGGACTGGAGGTTTCACAACCTGGTTAAGCTGTCCCAGCTACCAGTTTAAATGTTTTCTCCAACCACAGAAGGAGCTGCCAGTGTCTGTACCACCCCAGGGCTCCGAAACACGCTGGGCCCACCAGTCAGCCCATGCCCAACAGGTTTCCCACTGCAAAACAGGACCAGATGTTATGGGTCTCAAGTCTGAGGCGGATTAATTCTTCATGCCTGGTGCTTAGTCCACTTTGTTGATGGTGACATGTGGGAAAGGTTAGACCAGTTTAACCAGCTTTCCCAGTGAAATTAGCTCCTGGCACGGCTCAGTTCTCCTTGGAGGACAGCAGATGCTGTACTGGGGCCTGCTGTTCCCAAATTCTGGCCTGAATTCAGCTGATCACCTGGCCAGGTGGGTTTGATGGCAAAGCTTTGTGCTCTCAGCAGCTCTGCAGAGCTTCTCCTACTGAGCCACAGGGTGTTTTAGGCTGGAGGGCACCTCTGGAGGTTAATCTGGTGCACACAGCAATCAAACCAGGCATGACAGCAGAGAATACCGGTCACCACTTAAAACTGAACACAGCTCGGGTAGAAACAGGGCTGTGCACAACCATTACCACAACCCCTTCCAAGCAAGGTCCCGAATTCACACCCAGATCACATTGATAGGCTCCCAACTCCCTTCCTGGGGGGTACAGATATCCCTGTCGCACCCAAGGCCAAAACCAGGGAGGAGGCAAGCGCTACCTGTGCTCTACGTAGAGCAGAGGCCTGCTGTCGGCAATGATCCCGCTCTGGGTTTGCTGCGACAGCCCGTTGGTATCCTCAATCTTCTCCAGGAGGCTGTCGATGTCCTCCAGGTTGTTGTCTTCCTTAAGAGAGGCACACACAAAGACAAGGCAGTTATTACAGTGAGTCATGGCTCACCCAGCTACCTCCAGCTTGTCCCAATCTCTGCAACACCAGAGCAGCCCCTGCTACCCCACTGCTTCTTGATGCCTCCTGCTCTGCCCCTAGTGCCCTTTATTCCCTCAGGAATCGCACCCAGACCCTGCTTTCCCAGCCCAAAAGGGCTGCTGCTCTTCCCTGCTTGCTCAGGGTATCCCAGGGCTGTCTCTCTTCGCACCATCACGAATCTAAACGTGCCAGCTGAATAGGTCTGGTGTGGACAAGAGCTGGCTGGGCTCTGCTCTGCCCCTTCCCACCCAGCTGTGCATTGTCTGGTTTATTTACACTACAATCTCCATAATATCATGAAATTCTGGACTGCTGATTTTAAGTATTTAAATAATCAGCCTTTACCACCTACTTTCCATGGAAACACTGAGTTACTGCTGTGACCCATGTAAGAAGGTGTCAAACACTTACCTGATTTTAACCCAGCTCTAAGGTATTGTGTCTCCCCATTCTCTAACAATCCAAAGACTACACCCAGCAGCGCTCACTCAGCACTTGTGTAACACTTTTCCCCTGATTTTCCTCTGTTCTCCCCCAGGGATAGCGAGTGACTCATTCCTCACGCGGCCGCTTCACATCCTCCTCACGATGGACGTGGGTGAAACACGGAATCCCATTCACGACACCCAAAAAGCGCTCCTCTCCCAGCTACGTACGGCCACTCCATGTGGAGTGGATACATGGGAAGTTTATAACACGCTTTGCATTGCAGGGCTTGAGCAAAGGTAGTATTATCCCTGATAAACTGCCTGGTTTGGGAGTCTACAGCTGGCAGACGTTGCTCTATTGCTCATTAAGTCTCAGACCAGGAGGGGAAATGAGCTCTTTAGTCAGGTTCTCTGCCTCAGTACCTTGCTCTGGGCTTGCCCAGCCAAAATCCCAGGGAGAAGGTTGCCACCAGCACCCACACTGGGGTCACATTCAGCACCTCCACATACCGTGGCTCAAACCAAGGATCCCCAAGTGAACAGTTAAGACTCTTAAACCTCCCTTACGAGGAGCGACTGAGGGAGCTGGGGCTTTTGAGCTTGGAGCAGAGGAGACTGAGGGGTGCCCTCATTCCTGGGGATCCATTTGGAAAGGGCGAGGGTCAGGAGGAAGGAGCCAGGCTCTGCTCTGAGATGTCCAATGCCAGGACAAGGGGTAATGGTCCCAAGCTGGAGCACAGGAGGTTCAAGCTGAAGACGAGGCCAAAGTTTGTCAGTGTGAGGGTTATGGAGCATGGCCCAGGCTGCCCAGAGAGGTTGTGGAGTCTCCTTGTCTGGAGACACCCAAAGCCCTGGCCGGGGTCCTGTGTGGGCAGGGGTTGCACTGGGGGAGCTTTCCAGGTCCCTTCCAACTCCTCACATTCTGGGATGCTGTGAAACCTGGTCAGAAAACAAACTCCCTCTGGAATCTTATTTCTGTTGAATTTAAAAGACCAGAGATTGCAATCCATTGAGTTTCCTACCCTAGCTCAAGTAGATATTCAACCACTTCTTTATCCACAACAAACAGACCTTGGATAAAGTCTGCCCTCCAAGCATGCATCCTTAGGGGTAGGCAGCCTGGTCAGAGAGAATTTCTGTCCCCTTGCTCCCTTTGTCACCAAGGGGACAGAGCAGATCCCATGGGAAGAGCGCTTGGCAGCACCTTTGATGGTAACACCTTTGCTGGGGCTGGCTCTGCGCAGCTGGGACGGGCTGAAAGTAGGGCAAGGAAAACAGAATGGAAATGCCAACTCCCTGGCAGTTACCCCCTCCAGTGCAAAGCCTCCAAGCAGAGATGAAAGAAGGCGCCGCTGTGAGGATTTCGGCTCCAAGCATCTGCAGCAGAGCTGCACCAGTCCCTGCTGCTTGGAGAAGCACAGTTAAAAGCTGCTGCTGTCATTTCATGATTTTTAATGAGTACAATGCAAAAAAAAAAAAAAGGAGCATTTTACCTCAAAATCTTGATGCAGAAATTAGCACAGTCACCAACTCAGAGCAAACGCAGACGTACCTGAGTCTCCCCTGCTGCAGTTTTCTTGGTTTTCCTTTTCTTTTTCTTCTTCCGTGGCTTGTTACTTGACACAGACTGCGGAGAGAAACGAAAGAGCTGTCAGAGCACACCCATGGACTGCAAGAGTGAACCCTCCATGGGCAGAAAAGCATTTCCCATAGGGATCAGTATGCCAGGAGGGCCTTAAATGAAACCCATATTCATCCTTTCAAGTTTGTCAGCGAGTGGAAATGAAGACACAAGGACAAAACGGAGGAAAGCACCAAAAATTTGCAGATGCAAAGGTTAAGAACCAGTCGATTTTCATACCAATGTCTGAGAACCACAAAATCAAGCAAGAAACTCTTCAGGTACGTCAGGTGTGGAAAAAAACATTTCAGCCCTCCTTCACTTCCTAAATAAACTCCTTGGTGCGTGCAGAGCTAAAAAGCACATTTCCAGGATCCACGCAGGTCACACAGCGAGTAACAGCGGCACCATGGGCGCATTTCAGAGCCAGGGGGAGCCCAAATTTTGCTCCATCAAATGGTGAGGAGACACCTGCAAAGGGTCCCAGATTTCTACCTGGGAAATTCTGAGAGAAGCCGCAGGTTCCCCTTGTGGTCCTTACACCAGAAATTCACCAGGTTGGGTCACTGGAGCCACTCCTCACATGGGGACCAACCGAGCAGAGCCCACATTGCACATCCAGAGGGGTCCCAAGGCTCTGGGCTGGCTGAGGCCACTGGCACGGCCACACCACGCACAGACTGTGCCTGGCACCCAAAAACCATAGGCATACACCCCAAATGCTGAGTCTCCCTCATTCCCCAACCCTCACCTCCAGCGAGACAGGGGCCAGACTCATAATGTCAAATTGTTAATTAAAGTGCCGTCTTCCTTATGTGTTTCTGCAAGGAAAGCGACACTTCTGAGCTGATAGACAGCACAGGAGGAAACCTGAACACAGAACGACAACAAAACTCTCCAGGAAAGTGCAAGTGGAGTTTTTCAGTTTCCAAAACAAACACTTCACTGTGCATTTACCCACCAGCCCAGCCCCACGTGTGGTGCAGAGCTCAATTAATGGTGCAGCAATGGGAGCAGAGAAGGAAGTGCCATTACAAAACCCTTTCCTTGCCTGACCTCAGCACTTGTCAGGACACAGCACAGGGTCTTCCTCAGGAGCCTTTACTCCACGGCTGTCAGATCTCCCAGGATCCCAGGCACAAACCCAACCCTCGGCACCAAACGGCTCCTTCTCCAGATACGGAGCCCTGAGGGCCTGGTTTTAAGCCCCCCTGAGTGTGTCCTTCCCCTCAGGCTTGTATCCTCAGACTCTGACAAAACCCAGGCACAAGGGAAAAGAAGCAGGCTCGTCTGTCACCACAAAGCTCCACAGTGCACACAGGGACAGAAGAAACCTTCTCTCTGCATTTCGTATGGTGACTGCCACCATCAGCAGCAGTTTTAATGGTTCAATTACCGTTTGGTCCGGCTGCTCTGTCTCTTCCCCATCTCTCTGCCCATCACCACCTTCAGTCTTTTCAGTTACAGCCCCTTCATTGATCCCTTCTCCTGCACCCTGCTCGCCAAGCCGGGCATTGGCTCGTTCCTCTCTGGATGGCAGCTCATCCTCGGACTCATCATTCGTGATCTGCACAGACAGACAGAGGAGCTGCAGAAACAGCCAGCGCGGGGCTGCGCTCTGCCCTCACCTGCACCTGGGGGGACAGAAATCCCCAGGGAGCTGATCTGTTCCACCACAAACAGAAGAGAAAACATCTGGACCCAGACCACCCAGCCCCTCCCAGGCCT